GAACTTGAGCAATACTTGACTGATACAGTCTCAGCCTGTTTTCTGCATTCCATTTGTTTTTCTGCCAGTGTATTCACCCTCTTGTTGTGAAAGTAGTTGGGTAAGAAAGCACTAAACACAGAGAAAGGGCAATTCCAAAAGAACAAATGACAGCTTAATTTAGGCTGACGCTACCCAGTTGTTGGGGGTCTCACCAGGGATAGGCAACATTCATCACATAGGTTGGGCAAATTCTCAAAATGCCATTTGACAGAGTAATGGGAGAGAATGTGTCAGTAGTGCCTACTTGCCTTAGCTGAGGACATAGAAAAGGAAGCATATTCTACTCTAGTTAAGTTGAATGCAGTTGCTGTATCTATTTAAAGATCGTCTCAGATTTAAAAAAAAAAAAGTTAATGAAAATGAGAGTGCCCTGAGACAGAATGGTTTCCACAAGTTTCTTTATAATTACAGTAATACTGACATTTATGTAGTCCACAAGACTGGACTTTCTAACATTCCTATCATGTGAACAATGAGAGTATTACACAGGCATCAAAGAAGCAGGTTCAGGTAACTGATGAATGACATAATAAGGAAAATACACATAAAAGCTGTCTTTTTTCATAAGGTTATAGCTGCAATCAAAGAATTCTAGAATTTCAGAGATGACAGGTACTTTAGAGATGGTTTAATCCAAGACTTTAAGAAAAAAGTTTCAGAGAAGTTGTGATATTCTGTCACATAATAAATTAGTAGCAGGAGTAGAACAAAAACCTGACTTTCACTTTACCATTTCTTTGACAAACTGTAGAAAAATTGGAAGCCACTAATTGATTTCAAGTAATAAAACTGTTCTGTTTCCTTTGTAGTTTTTTTTTAAGTTAGGTTAAGTTTACCTTGTTTCTATGCTTATTCGAGGAGTACTGACTTAACAACATAGAAAATTCCACAGCACAAGAACCAGAATAAACCTGTGCAATCACAGTCCATCTATTTCATCAAGAACGAGGTCCAGTGAAGTTGTAGAACTTGCCATCGTAAAGAATGAGAAAATGTCTACACGTTCTGGATCCCTGTCTCTTTCTTCCAGCTTCTACTTTCTAATAAAGTGGAATTTAGTGCAATCTGACACACATCATGCTGTTGTCTAAGCATAAAAAATAAAATTAAAAGTTTAACTGATACTTAATTTCTTCATAAAGAAGGCAATCACATTTATGTCTCTACTTGGATTTGGATTTCTCAAATTATGTGTGTGAATGTTAGACATTAAACATGGTGTTCCTGTACCAGTAGATCACAACCCTTAGATAATGACATAGAAATCCAGTTCTTCCACTCACACCCATTAATTAGGACAGCTACTAACTATCAAAAAGACTCAGAAATATGGTATAGATATACAAGGAAGTATTATTTGCCTTAAAAGGGAAATAAATCTTGTCAAAATGCTACAACAAAGATGAACCTCAAGGACACTGTGCTAAATGAAATAAACTGGTCACGAAAAGAAATGCTGTATGATTCCATTTATATGAGTTACCTAGAGTTGACAAATTCATAGAGATACAAAGTACAATGGTGGTTACCAGGAGCTGGGAAGAGGGAGGTATAAGGAGCTACTTTTTAAAGGATTTAGAGTTTCAGTTTTGTAAGATGAAAAGAGTTATGGAGTTGGATGGTGGTGATGCTTGCAAAAAATTATGAATTATGAGTATATTCAGTATCATTGAAATGTTCACTTGAAAATGGTTAAGATGGCAAATTTGGGGCTCAAATTGTAGCTCAATGGTAGAGTGCTCGTCTTGCATGTGTGAGGCATTGGGTTTGATCCTCAGCACCACATAAAAATAAAAAAATAAGGGTATCATGTTCATCTACAACTAAAAACAATTTAAAAAAAAACTTTAAACAAAGATGGAAAATTTAATAGAAAAAAATCTAATTCTTTCTTATCATGGACTAACATGTTCCTCCTTCACCCACTTAGCATCTTCTCTCTTCTCTATTCCCAAGTGTCTGTCCATGAGGGAAATAAGTACCATTATTATTTCCCTTCTCTCTCTCTCTCTCTGCAATAATTTCCCTATTGATTCAATCAAGAATGTGGGGGTTGGAATTAAGGACAGTATGACTTCTGATAAACTTTCACTCTGTAATATATCACTTTATTTTAAAGATCTCTTTACTTAATAAACTACAGAACAACAAGACAAAAAGCTTACAGATATGATGTGCATATATTTTGGAATGTACCTGAAGATGAGCACGTTTAGATTCATCCTGGGTTTGGGTAACTAATTCTGATCCTATACATTATCAAAGAGTCCTTTATTTATCCTCCTTGTTTTTCCTCCCCATGAGTGTATCTGCTGTTGAATCATGTCCATGACATTCAGTGATTATATCACTACAATGAGGTCACTGGGGAGCAACTTACTCCTGTTTGCACTGTTCCCACCAGTCATGAGAAATTATAAGTAGTGATGGCCAAAATTATATTAGAATAGTGCTAAATTTTCTTTGAAAGATGAAAAGCAGAGTAAAATGATAGCCACTATCAGTAAAAATGCTTAAATTTTTACTGATGTGGCTATCATTTCCAGATATTAATACAGGTACTACAAAAATAATGTTATTATTAATTTAATAAACACTTGATAAACCTTAAGTGAAAGATTAGATCATTGGTAAAACAACTTGACACCTTGTACCAGTGGGTACTAACTAATCAAGAGATTACATAGTTCTTTGTTCCCACTAGAGAAATAAAACCAACCTGGAAACTTCATAATAAATGACCAATTTTGGTTCTGTAATATGATTCATTGTTGTCTCCTGAGTAAAAAGCCTAAATGGCCTTTGATATATTATATGATCTAAAATTCAAACATAGGTTGTTTAGCATTCATTATAAAAACTGAAAAACTGTCGAATGTACGGCAGATCATAGGCGTTAGACCTGTATTCAAATACCAGCTCTTACAATGTGACCTTGGACAAGTTAATTGAACTCCATATATCTCTGGCTTTATCACTTCTAAAATGGGTATAATAGAATTTAATTATAAGGAATGTTCGGGGAAAAAAATAAATTAAAATTTATAGAAAGCTCTCATAGCACCGCCTGGTAAATTGTGAATATTCAAATATTCTTTATTATGACAGAAAACCAGTCTTACATTTACAATATATTATATAGTAAACTCAATAATGTCTGTTTGCTTTTGCTTTCTGTCTTACTAAACCACAATATGATATTAACAAATGATGATTTCTGAGTCACCAAATTGTTGGCATTCTTTCATGCTTCCCTATGATCTTGACGATCCCTTTAAATTTTTAGGTATTCATTGGCTTCAAAAATTCCATCGCTCAGTATAAAAAGGTGGGGATGTTTAAATTTTCTAGTTAGAAAAAATGAAACATAGAATGCCCATGTCTGTGTGAGAGTGCATTTTCAGTGATAATGAAAGTGTTCAGATCTTCAAATGTTTAATGGAAAAACAACCCTCAGCCAAAAAGAACATAAATAATTTCTTAATGAAATCAATTATTGTGAATACATCTAAGATGGTCTTCAAAGAAATTTCACTGAATTCTATGTGATATTTCTAAGATAATATGCTCTTCATATGCATGCTGAGGAACATTTATAGATTATAGATTATAGTTTACCATCAAACATTTATTAAACCCTTTGTCCATAAAGATGATAGCATCTGGAAAAGCACCATTGTAAGACACTTCCAAAGCTAAAATGGAGCTGTTTTTTATTCTAAGCCTAATGTATTTTTAAATCAAACCACAGGGAAATACTTTTGTTTCTATTCAATCAAGACCTGCACACAGAGTTTATGGAATGACATAATATCCTTCCTGAAATCAGACCGGTATGTAGGACCAGTATCCTTCACACATAACCAGTTCCTGAACCTTTACAAACAAATCCCAATTTCCAAGGAAACAATCTCATCAAATGTTGCTCACTAGAATACATATTGTTCCTCCTGGAAATATTACAATAAGATTTTTGCAATTACAAATTTCAACTTCCCCTCTAAAATTCAATATAAACTTATGTTCATTTATTGAAATGGAAACAGTAATTTTATAATGGCTCTAGAAAGTCCTGATAAAATCATACAGTACCAAAAGAATAATTAGTTTTATTAGTCCAGGAGGGGGTAGTTATTAACTGATTGTGCATTTGTGTTTTAAATCGGCACCAGTTAGAGGCTTAACTTTCTATCCTATAAGGAGTATGGTTTGCTTTATTGGGGGGAATATTAAGTTTTAGAAATGCCCAAGCTTCAAGGTTGTTTTCTCCCCCCAAGAATTTAAAAAAACAAACAAAAAAATCTAGCAGCTTGTAATCAATATTCTCTCCTCTTTGCCTGGAGAAGCTAATGCTTCTGTGTGCAGGTCACAGGATTTGTTTTGAAGTGAACAAACACATTTATCCTTTACCAGAAAAACAATATCAAAAGATCAGTGGCAACTCCAGACATAAACATACAAACAGGAAGAGAATATGATTCTAGTTGTCAGCCCAGTGGCTTTAAGAATAGATTTCTTACTTTCCCCTCTTAACTGAAGATGTTCTAAGAACTCTGGGCAGGGTGGACATTTAGTCCCCTGTCTTCTCCCTTAATTAAATAAACAAGTGTCCACGTTTTAAATGTGGCCAGTGTGAGGAACCCGCAGAAAGCTCCAAAAACAAACACTGAGTAAACCTTTCTCGTTTGTTCTGTAGACACATGTACGTTTTGGAATTTGTGATTCACTGTCCCACCGTGAAGTTTTTTATGCACTTTATATTGAGTTATGTGGCAGCTAAGAGCTGTCACAGTTTGCTTAAAACTGCAGCATAAAGTTATTTTTGAAAGATAAGTGCAACATGGCATAGAAATCCATACATTGTAAAGTGAAAACAATAACTCAAAAAACTGGGTTAGCGTGAAACAGAGCCAACAGAAATCAGAATTAGCAACAGCCTTTCACTGCCGGCAACTCACCTTGTTGAATTTTAGTCACTAGCTGATGGCGTGCTAGAATCCGGCTCATCCTGTAAGGAGAGCGTCTTGTAGTCTGATCAAATCGCAAGTACATCTCCTGGCCCTCAGGTGTCATGGAATTTAGATAGTAACAGCCTGAAGCTGGGGTCCTGGGCACCTGACTGAACATCTCGGCAGATTTTCTATTGCCACCTCAGTCTGCCTGTGGCTGTTTGCAACTGTCCCCAGCCTCGGTCTAAAGGCACCAAGCCCAGGAGAGCTCAACAGACCAAGCGATTTTTAAAAAGAAAAAGGAGTGCCAAAAGCCACAACTCAGAATTCCAATCCCCGGGCCCTCACGTGACTTCCAGGATCCAATCAGAGAAAACTGGGAACGTTCGCAGTCAGCCTCAAGCCCCGCAGAGAGGCAGGCAGTTCAAGCAGCTTGGATCCCCCACGCAGTGCGAAAAGAGAGTACACGTATTTGACATGCCTCTGAGCTGACGAAGCACCCAAGCCCAGCACGCACTAAAAGAGTTAAAAGAAAAGAGGAAAAAAAAAAAAAACAACAAAAAACAGAAGCCAACAAGCTTTGGGCATAGGAAACCTTTCAGGCTACAAAAGTTAAGAGAAAGTTTCTTGGCTTTATATAAATAAGGCTGCTGCAGGCGGTAAAAAAAAAAGGTAGAAGTGATAAATGTCTTAAGTAAGAAACAACTTCAGGTAAGCACACATAACTGAGTATAAACTACCAACCTTCATTGCAAGGAAATAAAGATTTTTCAATGAAAAACAAGCTTTCTACTCCGGCTTTAAGGAATAAACATGCAAGATTCCTGCCCTCCAAGGATGGGACCTGAAGGGCTCTTACAGATAAGACTCATAAAAGCAAACTATGCAAAGATTATTTATTAAAAATCCATACATTCTCCTTTACTTTTTCTATTTACCCAATTTTTAATCACCCAGAAGCAAAATATAATGAGGAATACCTATCAAATTTACGACACTGCTAAGAATCACTACACAGTGTGCAAAATACTTGCAAATATGACTATTGCCAACCTACTGTATTGTAGATGGACAGAGATGTTATGCAAAAGCTTATAAGACAAGGCCACATGTGAGAGGTGATTTTAAAAGACAAACACAATGCTAGGTGAGCAATATTATTTCTCACTGGGATGATGATTACCAAGCCAGGCACAGAAGAAAATGTGTGTGTGTGTGTGTGTGTGTGTGTGTGTGTAATGAAGGTTGGGGAGGGCTTTGCAGGATGGACTATGTCCACAGTGTATGCAGGCTGAGAATCAGAGTGTATGTTTAAGGAAACTGCTAGTAATTCAATTTGGTCATATCCAAGTATCCATGTGGGATAAATTAGAATGCCCTCACCCCATTTTTCCTCTTTACAATTGTTTGATGTAAAGAGGAAAAAGTCCATGGAAAACCTGTTATCAAATTCTGAGCCTGGGTGGAAGAATAAACTTCTTTAATAAAGAAGTATATGGCCAGGTTGTTTTTACATTTGGCTGACTCAACTGAAACATGGCATAATAATGAGAAATTCTCAATTAAAAATGTAGCCCGACTTTGATTAGGACCTCAATTCTTGTTACTGTGGCTCTCTGGTAGCGTAGCTTTAACACCTTTCCTGGCTGGAATTTTTGATATCCTGATACTAGAACTTACACTGTCATGGCAATTGTGAACCTTTTCTGATTTACATAAGAGGAGGCAAGTGTTAGTTTTCAGGTTGGCATCATATTAGAAAAAGAAAGGTAGATCTCACTGGATCATACTGTGCACTTTCCATTCTTTCTTAGGATTTGATCAAGGTTTTTTGTTTGTTTGTTTGTTCCCCAGCATCCCTTTTAGAAAGGTGAGAGGGAACTAGTGAGTGGTAGGGCAAAATCACGGACATGAATAGTAGAAAGGTTTAGTACAATATTGCAATATTAGATGCCTGGAAAGTCCATTAGCTAAGTTCACAGAGTCAGCACTGCCTGCCATCTGATCAAGGTGCTTCTATTGTCAGCCACTTCGTGAATATACTTCTGGTTTGGTAGACCAACACTGAGGGCATCCTTGTCATAAACCTTTCATTCAAGCCAGAAAATTGCCAGTTATTGCCTTTTCACTAGGTAGGAGAGAATGGAAGAAGGGTGGACAGTGAAGGAAGAGAAGGACATGGAATTTGGGGACTTTGGACATGTTTCAGGAAGCTAAGCAAAGGAGAGTAAAAGGCAGGAAATAATATGTAGTCATTTTATAGTTGTGAATACACTTAAAAAAAGATTGGCTAGTCTCAATGACAATCTTGCAATTCATTGCTTTCTTGGCTGCATTTAAAAAGTAATCAAATTATGTGATGTGTATGTATGAATATACCACAATAAAACATCCTATTCTGTATAATTATTATGCACCAATACAAAATTTTTAATTGAGTTGAATGCAACATAAAAAATAAATAGAATGATTCTTCCTGAGAAACACTTTGTTTGCATAATAATGAATATGTCAAAGTCCTAGGGTGTTTCTGATGTTTTCTTGTTCTGAAAACATCAAGATCATAAATATGTATACTTTGACATGTAAACAGATGAAATAATATTTCATAGATTGACACAAACTGAATTTAAATTAGAGAAAAAAGGAACTTTATTCCCTGATTAAAAGAAAGACAATGAGAATAAGCCAAATTTTTTAAAATTAAAAAAGCAAAAGCAAAATGTTTTAACAAGAGGATCAAGGAAGAATTATGTATTGAAACTCTGTCTCTTCATGTCATATATAAGGTACCAAGTCTTATTTTATGGTTCAATTAGTATCTACAAATTCATGTGACTGCTCACCATGTTTTTGCCATTTTATATTTCCCAAATAGTATATTTAAAGTAGATAGGTAATATTATTTTCTTATTAGCATTAATACCTTACTTTATGCTAATGTCTTTCCATTGCAATGAAACCTGTATTTTTTTTTCTTTTTTAATTTTTTATTGTTGGCTGTTCAAAACATTACATAGTTCTTGATATATCATATTTCACACTTTGATTCAAGTGGGTTATGAGCTCCCATTTTTACCCCATATACAGATTGCAGAATCACATCAGTTACACATCCATTGATTTACATATTGCCATACTAGTGTCTGTTGTGTTCTGCTGCCTTTCCTATCCTCTACTATCCCCCCTCCCCTCCCCTCCCCTCTTCTCTCTCTGCCCCCTCTACTGACATTCATTTCTCCCCCTTGTATTATTTTTCCCTTTTCCCTCACTTCCTCTTGTATGTACTTTGGTATAACTCTGAGGGTCTCCTTCCATTTCCATGCAATTTCCCTTCTCTCTCCCTTTCCCTCCCACCTCTCATCCCTGTTTAATGTTAATCTTTTTCTCATGCTCTTCGACCCTACTCTGTTCTTAGTTACTCTCCTTATATCAAAGAAGACATTTGGCATTTGTTTTTTAGGGATTGGCTAGCTTCACTTAGCATAATCTGCTCTAATGCCATCCATTTCCCTGTAAATTCTATGATTTTGTCATTTTTTAATGCAGAGTAATACTCCATTGTGTATAAATGCCACATTTTTTTTATCCATTCATCCATTGAAGGGCATCTAGGTTGGTTCCACAGTCTTGCTATTGTGAATTGTGCTGCTATGAACATCGATGTGGCAGTATCCCTGTAGTACGCTCTTTTAAGGTCTTCAGGGAATAGTCCAAGAAGGGCAATAACTGGGTCAAATGGTGGTTCCATTCCCAGCTTTCCCAGAAATCTCCATACTGCTTTCCAAATTGGCCGCACCAGTTTGCAGTCTGACCAGCAATATACAAGTGTACCCTTTTCCCCACATCTTCGCCAGCACTTGTTGTTGTTTGACTTCATAATGGCTGCCAATCTAACTGGAGTGAGATGGTATCTTAGGGTGGTTTTGATTTGCATTTCTCTGACTGCTAGAGATGGTGAGCATTTTTTCATGTACTTGTTGATTGACTGTATGTCCTCCTCTGAGAAGTGTCTGTTCAGGTCCTTGGCCCATTTGTTGATTGGGTTGTTTGTTCTCTTATTGTCTAATTTTTTGAGTTCTTTGTATACTCTGGATATTAGGGCTCTATCTGAAGTGTGAGGAGTAAAGATTTGTTCCCAGGATGTAGGCTCTCTATTTACCTCTCTTATTGTTTCTTTTGCTGAGAAAAAACTTTTTAGTTTGAGTAAGTCCCATTTGTTGATTCTAGTTATTAACTTTTGTGCTATGGGTGTCCTATTGAGGAATTTGGAGCCCGACCCCACCGACTGTAGATCGTAGCCAACTTTTTCTTCTATCAGACGGCGTGTCTCTGATTTGATATCAAGCTCCTTGATCCATTTTGAATTAACTTTTGTGCATGGCGAGAGAAAGGGATTCAGTTTCATTTTGTTGCATATGGATTTCCAGTTTTCCCAGCACCATTTGTTGAAGATGCTATCCTTCCTCCATTGCATGCTTTTAGCCCCTTTATCAAATATAAGGTAGTTGTAGTATTGTGGATTGGTTTCTGTGTCCTCTATTCTGTACCATTGGTCCACCCGCCTGTTTTGGTACCAGTACCATGCTGTTTTTGTTACTATTGCTCTGTAGTATAGTTTGAAGTCTGGTATCGCTATACCGCCTGATTCACACTTCCTGCTTAGAGTTGTTTTTGCTATTCTGGGTCTTTTATTTTTCCATATGAATTTCATGATTGCTTTCTCTATTTCTACAAGAAATGCCGTTGGGATTTTGATTGGCATTGCATTAAACCTATAGAGAACTTTTGGTAATATCGCCATTTTGATGATGTTAGTTCTGCCTATCCATGAACAGGGTATATTTTTCCATCTTCTAAGATCTTCTTCTATTTCTCTCTTTAGAAACCTGTATTTTTTTTTTTTTTGGTGTGGTCCTGGGTGTTAAACCCAGGGCCTTGTACATGTGAAGCAAGTACTCTACTAATTGAGCTAAATCCTAACCCAACCTGTGCTCTTTTAATGAATTTTTTTTTTTGTGTGTGTGTGTGTGTGTTAAATCATTTAGTACCAGAGTTTAGTACCAGAGACAGTTGAAAGCTAAATTGTGGCACTGAAAAAGTGCTGAAGACATTAGATAGGGAAGAAAATTTTGGGAGAATAGATTAAGATCATCTTAATCCTATTTAGTTGCATGTGATCCTGGAATGTCTAACTGGAAATATGAGTTTATGATGGCCAAAATACCATGGTGACTGAGTTCTGAGTGTTCTAAGGTAAGAAAAACAGAGCCCACAGCCCTCGAATAATCAGTGACAGTCCCTAAGGAAGAATCCATAGCTGAGAACTAGAGACTCCATTCTAAAATGAAGCAGGAGCATGCACACCCACAGGCCTGATCCCCGCCCTCTTTGACAACTCTTCTTTTGCAGAGTGGGTTCATTGTCCTCTGTTTTTTGCACATCCTCAAGGCTAGCTCTACCCATGTCTTGCCTTCTCCATGGTATTCACTCTCAAAGCAAATACTCTAAATACAATCAAAACTCTGATATTTGATCTCTTAATAAAACTTTAAGTATTTAAAATGTTCCAATCTTATGATAGATGATCCAAGATTAGCGCTCAGTGGAATCTTGTATAAACATGGCAGAAAGCTAGGAGCGCTTTTACAGAAGCCAGGAATGGCTCACTAGTCTTTCATCTGTCTGCATCTCCTTCTACTCCTTCACACACATTCCAGCCTCCTCAACAGTCTGTGTGGAGGGAGCCAAGGTAGTGCTGCCAAGTAGGAAAATGTTTGAGATACAAGTGGCAGGTAGAAAAATGCAGAACAGATTTGGAAGGCTGCTTTTGAAATTACACAAACCCAAGGGATGTGGGTTGATGTCAAAGCCTTTCTGTGGACTTTGAGGCTCAGTTTGGGAGGATTTCCAGTAGTTGTGATATGTATGCCTAACTCTGTGCAAAAGAACCTTCTTAACTTGCATGTACTACGAGCCCAACGTAGGTGAGACAATGATACCAATACTTGCAGCTGTGATCAGGTCCATCTTGACAGGGTTCTGACTAGATCTTCTTCTGATCAGCTCCTCAGTTCTAGATCATGGCTTCCATTTGGAGTCTAGATCTTGTTGCAATATCAGCCCTCTCCACTATCTTTGGTTAACCTCCCCTTCCTGTCCTTTGTATATGAGCCTCCTAGAACTTATACTCTGCCCTCATACCATCCCCTGGGGACCCAACTATCAATTCAGCTGATATGTTCAGTGATCTGGCCTGGCCTGTTCTGGTACCATGGCCCATACCTAACCATTCCAGCCAAATCAAAATTCTTCAACTTTTCTCAGTTGTTCCACAAGCTTGGAATTGTGTGATTCTCTATTCTTCTATCCATGAGACTCAGTTAAATCCTATTGCCTTTGAAAACATTTTCATGACCGATACAAATTTCTTTATTATTTGTTCCCTGCATATTAACACCTGTAAACAATCACTACACAACACATTAATTAGATTAGACTCTTAAATGCTCATATGGACTCTATTTGTTCATTACATTTATTATGGGCATATAGTTTTTACATCTTAAATTTAGAAAGGATATAAAACAACTTCTAATATAACCAATCAACTACTATTGGAGTTCCCCTGTGAGTGCAGTTAATTTTCTACCTTCTTATGCAGAGGGTATTATCTCACAGAGAACCTAAAGCTGTTGAAGAAAGTTCTTCCTTATAATGTCCATCCACAGCCTCTAATTCTGCTATTTGGAATGAGACAGGACTGTCCTTTGGATATATGAAGAAGACCAATATGTCTTTTACAAGGATCTTTTTTTTTTTTTTGTAATCTAGACATTCCTTTTAATCAAACCATACAACTTCTAACTATTCCTCAAGCAGACTGCTCTCTTTTGGATCTATTCCAGTTTGCAAATAGTCCTTTGAAAATAGGCACCTATGCTAAGTTTAGAGATCCAGACATGGCCAAGCATGGTAATATACAGTACAGTGTGTGCATACTTCCTGCATTCAGGGTTTTTCACTCTTGAAGATTCAGTTTGGGATTATGGTAGGTTTATTTTAAATTTTATATTTACTTATTAATGAATTCAACATTGGATGAAAGCCTGCACAGCACTGCAGTGTGTATGGAAGATACAATGGTAATAGAATGTGGCCTCTCCCCTCAAGAGGTTATTTGTCAGGGAAGACAGAAAAGGACCTCAACACTACACCAGTATTAAGTGATGTGTGGGAGGCTATCTCTGTCTTACAGTTGACCTAAATGGTTAAGCTGTGTGGTGTTTATGTATTTTCATAGAATCTGATATTAGATAAATATTCTCTATTCTGTATTTAACAAATAACTTTTGAACTCAAGAATAGTTCTTTAAACTTACAGGAATTATTGAGATATTTTAAATTCCTGATTTTCTCCCCCCGGCAAATTTATTTCTACCTTATTCATTTTGATGACTAACAAAAATGCCTATTGTATAAAAAGTGAAAAATAAACAACTGAGTAAATTTGGGTAAAGGTAAAGTAAAGGCAGGAAAAGGATAAAATCCAAGGGTGAAATCAGTTTATAGAAATACAAGCCACAAAACCCTGCACATTTGTTGGAGATATGTGAAAATGTGGTTTAATATTCCTCTGAGACAAAGTAAAAAAGAAATAAGACCTATTACAAAATTCAGTATATCCATAAGATGAAAATAGATCATGGATTCAAAATAAACATGTCACCAGGTATTGTAACCCAGGGAAGATTTTCCTGGGTCTTCATAAAGAATCAGCATCCTTAGAGATATTGGATATGATAATAAAACATAACTGTATCATTCAATAATAGTATGTATAACAAAGCATTATGTAGGAAAAATAGTTTCTATGAGAGCCTCCAAAAATATGATTATATATATGCTATTCTTTTTTTTTAAGATAGCCTTGACATGTTCTGGTGCCCTTTTTAAAAAAAATTTATATGTATGAAGACATTAATTGGTGTGGATATACATAGTATACAATCAGAAATATGAAAAATTATGCTCTGTATGTGTAATAAGAATTATAATGCATTCTGCTGTCAAATATGCTATTCTTTATGATATTTTAAACCATGTGTTGGA